GCAAATTCTAGTCGACGCCGCCGGTACGCTCCGGTTTCTCTGACGGGGCTTTCACGCCTTCTTCGCCATCCCGCCCGCTCATGTTTACCAAAGCTGACAACTGCAGACTGAGTTCTGCACGCCATATTCCATCTTCTTCACCGCTAGCTCTATTTATTTGAGAGGGCGCGCTCTCTGTCTCCCTCCCCCATTCCCTCTCTCTCTCTCTCTCGGTTTCTGCTTTCGGTCCTGATAGGAGCGGAGGAAGGTGAAACAATCAGCGATTTCCTTTCTCCATGTGTGTGCTATTTCTTCTTCAAAATTTATCTTTTTTTTGTTTTGAGAGATTTGCATACATGCCACTTGATTCATATGTATTTACATGTCTAACCTTTAAACTTTAATTTTTACATACATGCTACTCCACCAATGGATGAAAATTGTATTCCATTTTTCTCAAGTTTAAAAGGTCATATTTTTGTTTTAAAACTTTTTAAAATAAAGTTTAAGTGTTAGATATATGAATATATAAAAAATTGGTGATATGTATGTAAATGCCCCCCTTTTTTTTTACGAGTAGGAGTTTTGATTTCCTACAACCATTGTTATTTTTGTTATTCTGAGTTATTATTACCTTTAGGATTTGCCTACTTATTTGGTGAACCATGAGGGAATTGATATTTAGAAATTATTTGACATTATAATTATTAGTTTTGATTATTTACTTTTAGGGTCGAGATAACAACAAAGGAATTCTTAAATACATTGAATGTGAAGGACTTTGTAAATTTGTCTTCAATCAATGATGTACTCATATGAGATTTTTCCAAATAATAAGTTTTTTTTTTTTTTTTTGTAAAATAGTTTATTAAATTAATTGTTTTTTGATATAATCTTGGTTAACTCAGTCAACCCTTAAGTTAACCAATTTTGGTCATTTATCGACCTGATCCATTTGTACCAATATAATTTCAATTCTTCTAATTTAATATGTAACTGCTTGTGACTGTGTAAACTTGACTTAGGAGACTGATATTTGATTTTTATGGTTGTTTATAAACACAGTTGATTCAATTTACAAATGCACTAAATGTAAGTTATTTTCATGATAAATAATTTATTTAGCTATATTTATCAAATACCCAACTTCTTTGAGATGGGGGAAATAATTTATATGTTTCAATTTGGTCATGTTTTTAAGGATTTAGATTTGAATTTTTTACCTACTTCTCATATTTGATTTCATAGAGTTTATGTTTGCTTGTATAGTTTTTGTGACTTCTATGGTTATAACATCTTTTTATGATTTGTTAGTTTGCAGACTAGATGCACAATCTTAATACTTGTGGAGACATGATGATAATTTGCTACCAAAACTTAATGTTACATGCTCTATAGGTTTTCCCTTATATTAATGCTTACTTGAAATATTCTTTTAGGGCATACATCACTTGTTATGTGATGTGAAAATGTTTTATATAATTCTATATGCCAAGTCTCTGTGTTTTCTTCTTATATTTCTAACTTATTTCTTCAACTTTGTTTTTATTCACTGAGCTATAACATAGATTAATTAAGTTGTTGTCAATTAAATTTTGTAATGTGCTAATTATTCTATTTGGCTTGTGTTTTTAACAGTACGAAAAATCGGCTCTTTCGATGTTTCTATCATGGCTACAATAAAGCAATGCATCAGAAGTCGTGAATTGATTTCTGGAATATATTGCTTGCAATATTTTTTAAGACTTTGGGAATGGATCATTATGATACAACAGATTTCCTAGGGTGGAGGATGTTGAAATTTATTTAAAGTCTTCTTCCACATCTGTTATTGACATTTTGTTTTCAAGGAATTCTATTAATTTGGTTGTTCCTTGTTAAAGTGATCACTATACTTTTTTGTATTTGTAATGAATAACATGTCACAGAACTTGGGCCTTCATAACAACACCGTATATTCAAATAGCCTTAAAAGGGATCAGTTTTCAATCAGAAGATGAATCTCAAGTTGGCATCATGCTACAACTTGTCTCCCTTGATGACTCTTGTGTTGAGAATTCCAATTTGAAAGAGGCAAGCAAAAAGTGGGTTGATATCGATAGAAGTATGGTGTCTAGCTATGACCCACAATTTCAAGTTTTTTCGTGTTCGCCAAGTGCATTGAAGAGCAGTAAGAGGAACAATTCAAGAGATGCGAGCATGGTCTCTTCAGCCTCTGTGGATGATGATGATTGTTATATGAACCTAGACTCAAACCTCCAATATGAACCTGACAAAGAAAATGTACATATTCCAAAGTCTCCAATTGCTACCCCTTTAGACAATTTGGTCAGTAAACCCACCCTTGATCTTGTGTTAAGTCAATCCATTGGACCAACAATATCATCTATTACAAATGAAGTCGAAACCTCTGTGCAACATCAAATTAACCATAAGACATCAACAATGCATGATGGATTAGTTTTTTCAAGCCGAGGATATGGAAATAGTCTAATCACTTATATGAGGGAGGTTTCAACAACTTCAGTTGATTTTCCATCTGAGGCCATCAAAAATAAAAAAAGAAACAGTTGCACAGAAAAATGTCAAATTTTTCAGTGTCTAAAATTGGTCAGGGGTGCTTCTGGACTTTGCATAGCTCATGGTGGAAGAAAAAGATGTCAAAAAGATAATCGTGAAAAGATATCTAAAGGAAAGTCCATATTTTGTGAGTTTCATGGAGGTGGAAGACATTGTGAGCAACTTGGTTGCCTAAAAAGTGCTATAGAAAGCACTGATTTTTGCATTGCAGATGGTGGTGATAATTGTGGCAACCATGTTAATTGCACTAAAGTTTCAAGGGCAATGTTTGGATTATGCATTAAGCATGGAGGTGGAAGAAGGTGCAAAAAAGGAAATTGCACTAAAATTGTTGATAAGCGATATGGTTCATGCATTGCCCATGGTGGAGGCAAGTGTTGCCATCACAAAGGATGCACAAAGAGTGCACGAGGTAGCACAATGTTTTGTAAAGCTCATGATGGGGGGAAGATATGTGGCGTTAAAGATTGCTACAAATTTGCAGAAGGAAGGACAACCTTTTGTAAACAACATGGTGGAGGGAATCGTTGCTTGTTTCGAGATGATGATATGTGTTCTAAGAGTGTCCATGGTGGGACTCAATTATGTGTTGCCTATGGATGTGGGAAGAAGTGTGCCACTCTAAAAAGCACTGGGAGCACAGAAAATGGAATTGATGATTGTTCTCATCATGGAGGTGGCAAAAGATGTCAGCATGAAGGGCATGATAAGAGTGCCCAAGGGTGGACTAATTTTTGCAAGGCACGTGGAGGCAATAGACATTGCTTATGGGGGAGTCAAGCAAAACCAGATATTGATTTTGATGGGCCCTCTTACAACCACGTTTCCACTAGCAAGTTTGGTCTTTGTGCTGCTCATAGCGCTTTGGTGCAAGATCAACGTGTTCATGATGGCAAGAACATGGGAACTCTCATCATTGAAAAGCCAATTGCAACTGAGAAGATGAAGGTGGTTTCTATAGATAAATTGTGCTTATTTGATTGGGAAGCATCAAGTCAAAACTCTCTTCTTGAAGGCAGAGTTCACGGAGGGAGTCTGATGACATTGCTTGCTAAGCGAGTTCCCCTCAACCAGCGTGAGAGCCAGGTTGATGGGTGCAACACTTCAAAAGAAGTTTCATCCCTCACCGTGAATTATGGATGCTTGTGAGTAGAAATTAGCATAAGTGTTTGATGTGTTCTTATGTTGGATTATGAATGTGTCTCCACAACTATTTTATTTTGTTCTCTTATCCATTGTTGTTCTTGTTAATATTATTATTAAGTGTGACCCTCTAATTGAAAGAAAAAAAAAGAAGACATGGAAGGATCTAGGCTCATTTAGTCTTATGTACTTGTACATATGTGTTTTAAGAATATTATCAATGTACTTTGTAGATATTTGTTTTCCTATTGTTCCTTAGAACTATATGATTTCTACATGCATTCCAATGCATATTATACTACTTTCTGGTTTAGAATATTTGTGTGCGATAGTCTTATGTATTTGTACATATGTGTTTTAAGAATATTATCAATGTACTTTGTAGATATTTGTTTTCCTATTGTTCCTTAGAACTATATGATTTCTACATGCATTCCAATGCATATTATACTACTTTCTGGTTTAGAATATTTGTGTGCGAACCTTCGCCAAATATTTGCAAAATTTATAGAATCTAAAGTGCATCTTGATTTTTAATCCCTTTCAACCAAATTTATGAAATACAATAAAGTTTTTCATTTTTAAAAGATATTATTGTTATGCTTTTAATATGATAGAGATTAATTTAGATTGAGTGGTTAGTTGTACTATCGTTGGTGGTGGGGCTATTTTCAGGGATTATTTTGTAAATATTATTTTTGCATTTGCTTTGCCTTTTTCTACTAATTATAGTTTGTAAATAAATATTTTGTTTATGAATTAAGATTTTCATTGCTCTGATTTTAATGATATATGGGTTGAGATGGATAAACCATTGCTAACTTTTATTCTTATTTGGTAAGCGTATCATTATAAGTATGTAAATTTTCGAGCAATTATAGCCATGATAAAAAAGTCATGGGTTATATTCATGTGAATGCTCTTAGATGATAGTTTATATTGTTGATTATATAAACTTTCATGCTAGATTAATTTGCTTCATTGATTTTAATGAAATTATGAATGGCTTATATTTAATGCCTATAAGTTCTCTATTAGCTCTTGAGCTTACTAGTATGTTCTTCTTTATTATTATTCATATAAGTTGGTTTTGTTGGTGTTCTTCATAAATTATTAGAAATAGCGTATGGTTATTGAGAAATATTAGTCCAATTCATTAAATATTTAATGTCACTAAATTAATTAATATCACTAAATTAATTAATTATTTTACATCACTTAATTAATTAATTATTTTACATTAATTTATAATTAATTACTTTTTATTAAACTAATTACCCTCGCCTACACCTCTCCAGGTTTCGCCCAAACTTCCTGCTCTCTGCCCAAAACCTAGCTCACCTCCCCACCCTCGCGCTCGTGAACGAAATACAGTCGCGATTATAGCTAGCCGGGAAGGTGGGAAGGGAACGACGGGATCTTGGCGTACAGAGACCACCGAAACTCCCTTCTTTCTCATCCTTCTGCTCCGCTCCTGCCAGAAACCATTGAGTAAGATAAGCCTGTTCGTGCCATTCCTCCTCTCCACTCGTCCCGGATTCACTAAATCCGCCGATTCACAGGATTCATTAAATCCGCCGATTCACAGGATTCATTAAATCCGGGATTTAAGGCCGAAATCCTCTAAATCCAGGTGAAATTCTGCTCTAAATCCGTTGTCAGACAGCCCCCTATCGTGGCTGCTGATGGACCCTGTCTGAAAGCCTTGCCGAGTCTTTTTTCTGCTTCTTCGACAACCCAAAACCCTCAACGAAGAAGAAGCCAAAGCAATCATTGTCTGCCCGCAGAATAACAGAGATGGGGAAGGCGAAGAAAGGTCCCAAATTTGCTGTAGTGAAGAGACTGATTAGTTCCAAAACTCTTCGCAAGTAAAAAAAAACTCCTACTTATGATCTGCTCCCTTTTTTTTTTGTTGTGTAATGCACTCCCAGTGAACTTCTTCATTTTTGTAGGCACAAGGAAGAAGTTTTAAACCCTAAAAAGAAAGATATATCCAAGGAAAAGCTCCCCCGTAATGTGTATGTCCCGCCACTTCCGGTTAAATTTACCTTGTCACTGTCCCCTCTCTTTGATGGGCATTCTATTGGTTTACAGGCCGAGCATTTCCTCTGCTCTCTTTTTTAAGCATAATACAGCACTTGGGCCCCCTTATCTTGTGATAGTGGATACTAACTTTATCAACTTCTCCATCCAAAACAAGGTGATATAAGTTTTTTTTTTCTTTTCATCTTTTCATGTTCTTTTTAATGTATTTAATGTGATTATACCTTTATAAAACATTTTTCTCGTTTTCCAAGCTGTATTTGTTTGATGGAATTAGTTTTAAGGACTTGAGTTTGCTAAAATAAGCTGGTTGGAGTAGAGGCGATGATGGTTTTTTTTTTTCTTGTTTCAAATATAAGATGACTTTAGGGTTTATATAAGTTGGTTGAAGGCTAGAGTAGTGTGGGTAGATGATTGGCTGGCTTTTATGATACAAATATATATATATATATATTATTAAGTGTGAC